ACGCCCTCTAGTTAGCCATAACTCCAACCGTAAGTTAGCGCCATCATCATTCATGTCATAACTTCCGCGCTTTCTTTCTTCGTCTCTGAATCCCGGCCAATGCCTCTTCTTAAACCTTCACTCCATGCGTGCTTTCTGCCTTCGCCTGAAGCGCAACCAGCACCCTCCTGTCACACCTTTCTAACCACATCCCTCAGCATTTCACTATGCTTCCTCCGCGCAGCATCTTGGCATGCATCATAGTCCTTCACTGCATACGACTTGTAGTCTCTATCATCCTGAACGTATCGCTCAACGGGCTCCTTAGATGAATGCGAGCTTTTGTGTGACTTGCTATGAGAAGAGCCAGAAGACCGTGATGAAGTTGAGCGGGATGAGCCGTTGTGGGCCTTTGTGGATGAGCTGTAAGAGGAGGAGGAAGACATGTTGACTTTGTGTTGCCGTGCTCACGTGGTAGAGTTGATTTTTAATAGATGAGAATCCTCTGCTTGAGCAAGAGCTTGTCTGAGAGAAGAGACAGGAGAATAGAGGTTTATAGAGGCAGATATTGTACTGCAAAAGCACAATGTCCGAGGAATCAAGTCGGCTCGGCGACGAGACCTCGGTAAGAAGCGAGCTAAGGGGGGAGGTCGCCGAATTGTGGTATGGTTGATGGGAAGCTGCTTCTCTGACAACACCAACTTGAATGCCGTGGAAGGTCAGACAGTTTCGAAGGGGGATTTGGAACAAAGAGGATATCACAGCAACTATTTTTAGAGGTGTGATTGTGAAAGCTCAAGGAGAGACGTTGGGATATGTGGAGCAAGAGAGGAGGAAGGACTGGGTATGAGGTAGCAGGTCCACCTATTTATACCCGCTCACTTGAGTAGCAAGTCCGAAAACCAGGGCGACGTCGAGGGCGACACCGTGAGAGCCCTTTCCCACGATGCTTAAAGCGGGCGGTGAGCTTCACCATTGCCTAATCGAGGGCAGCTCGGCGGGGAGCAATCCTATAGGCCAATTCGGCATTCTGTAGCACGAAATCAAATGACCGTGGCCAGTTGCAAAAGGAGCACAAGACGATATCAGGAAAACAGGGAAACATCGTGAGATGTTCGTGGCTATGTGGAGTTCAGAGAAGGGCGGTAGGAACAGGGCGTCAGTGCCGTCTGCGCACCAATGGGTCACCGTGCGGCAATATTAACATTGACGTGCATTGACTCAAGTGAGCGTGAGGGCCACGGCGGTGGAAGTCGTGGAGGGCCGTCTATGCCCTTTAGTCTGAATGCCGGAAAGGGAACTTGCAAACGTGTTGGCCAGCCCTATTGTTGTTCGTGAGTGGCTATGCACTTCATTTGTTTGCCCTGCCGGCCCAACTTCTGATGACGCCGGACCGTTTGCGGCCAGCTTGGAGAGGGCTGTGAACGGCCCGAAAGATAGGCTGCCAACTTGTGAAGCATGGAAACTGAGAGGTCAACCACATCAGTGGTTCCTGTTGTGTGACCGGGGAAGCCCCTAAGGCTGCCGGTGCAAAAACGTTGCTGGTGTTCATTTTACTCGCGGAGCGATATCTGGGGGGCACGAACACAACAGCACGGAGCCACGATCCTGTAGGGGCTGGACCGAAGAGGCTATCGACAAGTCATGTTTGGGAGGGGAATACAAAACATCAGCAGGCCACCCGAAGATTCAGCACTCGGGGAAGAGAACGGGGAAGGGGAAAGGGAAAGGGAAAGGGAAGGGGGTGGGTGAGAAAGGGGAGAAGGGAAGAGGGCGAAAGCATCGCCTGTTCAGCGCCCTATCGCCCTGGGGTTCTCGCTTATCTGTCTCAGTCTCAGATCCCCATGCAAAGTGAAGGCAAGTTTGGGGCTCCTCGAAGGGCGACCTTGCTGTCAAGGGCAAACGTCCTGGTGTGAAACATTGGGGAAGAACAGGTCATGTTTGCTGTAGACAAGCACGAAGGATGAGAGTGTTGCCCTGGGTGGCCTGGGTGGCCTGGGTGGCCTGGAAGCCGCAGAGCCCTGATTGCCCTTGTCGGAGCCCTGGCGCCCTCGCAGTTCGCAGCTCGCAGCTCGCTTCTCGCTTAGTAGGCCGCGGAACTAGCCCCGCTGCTCATCCCCCCTTTTCATTGCCGCCCACGGAGTACTTCGTCGACACGCCTCTCATAGGAGAAATCAGAAGATTGATACGGTGAATAACAGCTTCCCATATTTCATAATGGACCTTCCTCCCAACTTTTTAGTATACCCATTTCCCACCCTTTCGCTGATACACGTGTGCCTCCCTCTCCTCACTTCTCTTTGTTTTAACAGGTAAAGTCTCGAAGCTCCTTCCGTAGGTCGCAATCGCATGCGCAATACCTTTAGCCATCTGGACCCACACGCCTACATTAGTATTCGCAAGAATGTCTCGATCCGTATGATAATTTGGATCATAAATTTGTCCCGCAGTGCCACCATAGAGCGCCGCTTCTGCTTCGGTCTTCACACCATCAGCACCAGAGGTCAACCCGCCAGCTGCGATGCCAAAGTCCAGGAAGGGGCCGTAATCTGAGCGACCATCGAATTCCGTTGACTTGGTAGGAATGCCAACCTCGTTCTTGTAATAGTCCTCCCAGAGCTTTTCAACCTCAGCAGATCCCGGCGGTCCACTCGTCCCGAACGCTGAGCCATCTCCGTCGTAAATTTCATACACAAAGTTGGGCGAGGCGATCATGTCGAAGTTGATATAAAGGCGAATCTTGTCGCGTTCTTCTTGCGGGAGTGTGGTGACATAGTGCTCAGCTCCAAGAAGGCCTTCTTCTTCGCCAGACCACCATCCAAAACGAATTGCATTGTTCGTGGAGAACTTGGACAATTGTAATGCCACTTCGAGGACTCCAATACTCCCGGAGCCATTGTCATTGATACCTGGTCCGGCTTCAACCGAGTCAGTGTGTGCACCAACCGCAAGGACGTTTTCCTTGTCGCCACCCTTAGTTTGGGCGATCACATTGTAACTATAGATTGTCAGTCAATCTTGGATTCAGTGCATTGATTGAGAAGCCACGCACGTGAGAGTCTCACTAAGTTCGACAATCAGATCAGCGGTTGCAGTGCCGGAGACGACCAGAGCGAGGAGTGCTTGTCCGTCGGCTTGGGAAATTCCAACAGTCGGTGCATAGTCTCCTTCACCTCCAAGTGTGCCCTGCAATGCCCCTTCGACATTATTATAAATCACGGTCCCAATTGCCCCCGCTGCCTTGGACAAAGTAGCCTTAGTCGCAAATGGACACGTGCCACGGCTGATGAGAGCAAACTTGCCGGCGACGTCTGCTGGATAGTCGGCCTAAAATATAGTTAGCACGAGGTAGTTTATAATTAATTTTGCTGTAAACTCACAGCATAACATCCAATGTTTGCAACCGGGACCAGAGGGCCTGAAGGCGTGCCTGCAGCAGTAAATGTCATTGGAGAAGCCTTGTAAGTCACGCCGCTGATGCTCAAATCAGCACTGGCGCTGGGAACAGTAAATGGCTGCACTTCAATGTCATAATACCCTGTGGCGGCTAGGGTATCAATAAGGTAGTTCACTGTGGAATTATGGCCAGGACTTCCGATATATCGGCTTCGTCCTTCCGTAGCATATGCAAAATCCTGCAAAGTCTGGCCCTTCTGGAGAAGCTCCGAACGCAGCAGGAGCCTCCGCAATTGATTCTGAAAAGACAGTGAATCTCAATGTTCCACAATTCATGATCTGATATCTTACAGACTGTACAAGAGGGAGTGCCCTTGGCTCTGGGAAAGGGACTGCCTCTGCGAGCAAAGCAAGATCTGCGAGAATGGCGGCGTAAAGAGCGAGCTGCATGATGGGGAGACACTTTACAACGGTACGGAGGACTTACAAAATGCAAGATGGGAGCAGGCCTCATCTTTTATATTCGAACGAGATACTTGCAACAGAAAGCCGCAGAGCAGTAGTGCCTTGCACCATGAAGCTCGCCAAGCAGCGGATAATTCACTTTCTTCTAAAGAGGAATGTCCGTAAAGTCGACCAAGAAACGCTCTCGAGCACACGACCACTTAAGGAAGAAGTTTGTATGCTGCGCTTAACTTTTTGGTGGCCGTGATTCTCTATTGACAAGTTCATAACCTGTACCTGCAAGTCCAAGACTCTTGGTATGCGCGATCTGACTTGGCCTCACCACTCCACAGTCATTTCGCAGTGCCGTTGACTGATAACTAAGCCAGATCTTGGCATAGGATGGCTGTGGCTTAATTCAGGAAGGAGCCAAGTGATAAAGAAGGGTACAAATGCTTGGAGTCTTGGATGCGGGCCAGAAATTCTGGGCGCGAGAATGCCAAGGAAAGGGCAGCGTTGAATTTGGCGGGAAACGAAGATGACGGAATTTCGTGCGACTCTCCACTTGCCAAAATCGGCATAAGCCATTGCCCAACTCATGAGGGGAGTGAAAAGTCGGAGAAGAGCTGAAGGTCATTGGGCCAGCGTAATCCAGGGAAAAATTAGAATTGGTGGCGGCGTGCGTAAGAGACTGGGATGCGGATGTGCAGATTTGATATCGAAGCTTCATGAAACGATGGATCGTGTTCGAACTCGGTGTCTGAACTAATGGGAATCTTTTTCTACGATCGATTATAACATCAAAGAATAGAAGTTTAGTTGTGGCATACGGTCGACATAGGCACGCTCGTGGTGGACAGAAAAGCGATACCAATTATCATTGTCCATGGCTAAATTAGGACAATAAAGCTGGGCTCTAAGAACATAAGATGAAGGGGTCTAGGGGCTTTCAAGATTCCTGTCTGTTCTTAGATGTACGAGACCTTGAAGGAACAATTAGGGGCGTGTGGTTGAAATGTCCCAATGCACTCGGGACAATTAGTGTCGCTGTTCATGTCCACTGCAAGATACGCCAGCCTCGCTAAGAAACGCCTTCAATCGGTTAAAAAATACTAGTATGATATATTTGAATAAGCACTTTTCGGCAAATTCGCTTAAGTGATTGAGCGTAACTCAAAATGTCTTTGATGGTCTAACGGTCATGATTTCCGCTTGTCATAAAACACAAGTCGCGGGAGATCGGGGTTCGACTCCCCGTCAGAGAGTTTCTCTAGAGTTCATGTCCCTGAGCATTGCTCAGATACCCAAACAATTTTTTTTACTTTTATTTTGCATTTCTTTGCTAAGCGAAGTTCGTGGGGCCGAGGCTCGCGGTGGACAAAAAAAGCGGGAGTTATTAGCGAACCAACCCACCACTTTTCAATCTCGATTTGATAGCCCCAAAAAACCTGCAAAAAGAATCCATAAAATCTGAAAGTAGATTGGAACTGCGTATTATAGCTGAGTTTAAAGGTGTTTAAAGTATTGTACTATAATTAGGCCGAGTAGAATGCGAAGTCGTTAAGCTGTCCCGGTTTTGGTGAGGAATCGGCCGTCGCGTTTTTTGTCCACCACGAGCGAGGATGCGCTTTCGTTCACCGTCTAGTGATTTATGTCCTTCCTGGCAATTAAGCATGGCGGAAATAGAATATCGAGATCTTAGACTTGGTTCTAACTTCTTTGTCTAATAACACGGCACTTGCGAAGCGCTACTTTTCTGATAACGCCGGGTGTGATAACCAAATGAGTTTCGTGTACTGCAATGAGTCCCAATCGACATATGACGAGTTTTTTTCGTTCGTCAGGTGAGATCTGCTCATTTTGTTCGAGAGGGGCAAGTGCTCAGGATACAAGAATGTAGTATTTCATTTGTATCTTGCTTAGTCGAAGATTCTTTATAACGAAATTCGTCAGTCTACCCAATATTGCGTAGAACTGCAAAAAATGTACTGGCAGACAGCTGTTCTAGGTTTCTCGAATGGTTGGTTTTGGGTTTATTCCATGAATCCCACCTAGTTACTATTTGCCACCTCGCTTTCAGCAAGACCTCACAATATGATGCGCCAAGACTGTGTCACCATAATCTCCTTAGCACAAGCGGTCGATTGATAAGTGTTCATCGGCAGCTTGCCAGCTCATTGACCACATCTCGGCACGGGATATCTGCACGGGTGCTGCTTTGCGTGTTCTTCCGAGCTCTCAGTAGGGGAAGGAGGGTGGAGTGCACAGTTACAAAGAAAATCCGTGTTCTATTTCAAGATAAAATCTGGATAAATCGATAGCTATGGTCAGATACGTCTTGCGGCTTTGTGGCACAGGTCTTTCGGTGTTGTGCTCGAGTACACAGCCACGCCACCAACGCCTCATTAAGAACATGCAGCAAACGCATTGGCGGAGTATACAACAACATCAGCAATACACCGGCTATTCAAAATACATGTTGATACTTTGGATGAAGCCCAATGCTGATCGGGACTTTCCTTGGAGACGCTATTTCCGAATCGTAACAACCTCACTGTCTTGGTCAAGCGCATCGACAATACAAAGAACCCGGCCGTGCTATGGGAGGACCTGGCCAACACGATTGAAAAGTAGGGATCGAGTCCGTTTTCGGTTCCTGATATCATCAATTGTCCTACCCATGGGGGTACTTTGGAAGTTCAGTGGAATTCCAGCGACCCAAGATACTACACAATAGAACTCAATAAGACAGGATGGACACCTGGCGGAATCATGGTTCAGGTAGTCGCCGCTGTTAACGCAGATGGAGAATCCACAAATCTCCCCACAGACCCCTGGTGAATACCCGGAAATCCGGGTCTTTGGACAAGCCTTTGAATTTCATTCAAAATCAAATCACGCGCTCGATCTGTTGCATGTTTGAATCGTGTTGTTATATATCAAAGCTCTATATTTCGTTGCTATGGCGAAGATGTACATATGGATAACTAATGTCATTCGAGGTGAATTTCACCAAGTATTGATCGGGGCATGGAGATGCTAGAGTTGTACTGTCTTGGATCTCTAGATACTCGCATGAGTAGCATTCGAATGTACAATGATTTGGGAGACTTTTCGAAGTACAAGCACTTGAACTGAGCTTCGTAGAAGACATCGAAGCGGCTGTTCTTGTTCACTTCTTTACGGCTGATTACACGGAACCCTGGCCTCGCTCAATCGTACCTGCCTCGTCTGAAGCCTAGTACTAGCACCAATCTCAAAAAGTAAATCACTCGCCTCGGACCTCGCTTCAGTGTACGAAAACGTCGTGAGGTAGAGGTGACAACATAACGCAGCAAAAGTAGAACAATTATGCTCCGAACAGTTCCATTTACGAGAAAATGATACAAATACAAATGCTCAACCCACTCGAATTGAGCGGACATCAATAGCTCCAGTTTTGAATGAGCGATCAGAGAATTTATGAATCTACGCTAACCCTCATGAAAGAACCAATGATAGAAGGTTGACCATTGATCTCCCCATCCATAGCATTGAACCAAGAAAAGAATTGCACGCGTCGGTGCCCCTTTAATTAGAGATACTTGCGATCTTGGAAGCACATTCATAAGTGCTGTGTTGAATGAGGGATCAGAGTAAAACGAAGTAAAGCTCTTGAGGCTCAAGATGGGCAAGCGCAGGCCTCTAGCGCGTGATCTGGCTGAGCGCGCCGCCGGATAAACAGCATAAAGTCTTGGCCTTCTTTCCCGCGCCCCGCTGTTTTCAACCAAGCACAGTACTCCAAAAACGCCGAATCTCTGCTCGACCGCTCGACTGCTCAACCAATCAGTCCCGTCTTTCAATGTTTACATTGATCCTTTATCTTCTGCTCGTCTTCTTTCTCACTACTTTCAAACAACCTCGATTGCAATTCACCTCCACCCTCACCATGGCGACGATCGACTCTGTCGCGTCGAGCACTGGCTCTGACCATGGCTCCATCACCATCAGCCCCGACAATTCATACAACTCCAACTTTCCCATTGACTTCAATCCCGAGCGCGACGAGGCCATCTGCTCCACCCTCGAGATCAAACGCAACTACAAGCAGACCATCCTCAGTCCTCAACTACCTGAGCTGCGTAACACCGCGAAGAAGTACGCGCGCTGGTCTCCGCGCCGCCCTCAACAAGACGTTATTATCAACACCTCCGCTCTGGCTCAGGCCTTCCCCGACTTCTCCCAAGCCGGCTCTCCAAACGATACCTTCTCCCTCGAAGTCCCTCGCGGACGCAAGGCCAAACAACAACCCACCGTCACGTCTTCCGCACTCGAATACACGAGTGACGCGAACGCGAAGACCCCTATGATCAACCTCTCCAACAACCTCCGCCTTATGAAGACTCCGATGCAACGAGTCGAGACAACCCAACCTACCATCTACGAAGACGCGACGCACAACAATGGCAACGTCCGCAACATTAGCAACCAATCCCATACTCAATCCAATGCCCACACCAATACTTACAACACTGCCGATACTAATACCTACAACCATAACATGCGCAACAAATCCAACAACCCACCTCCATCTCACTTCTCAACAGAGCAGAAGGAGAACATCCCACCCGTGCCTCAACAACAAACATCCAAGAAATCTTCATATACGTCCAACGCCAGTCGAACCATCAGCGGTGAACGACGAACCTTCAAGGAGCTCCATGCTCGGGTCGCCGACGAGTCTGATGGCTCATTCGTAGGCACAGAACGACCAGCCACAGTCACATTCCAACCGAAGAACACCCGATTCTCCAAGGTCGGCGAGAAGAAGCAGACCCAGACACACATCTTTACCCCCACCAGTATCAACGGCAAGCCAGGCAATGCTACGCAACAATCATTTTTTGTTGCCAGCGCTTTGAGTTCTGCCGCGAACACCCAGACCAATGGCCTCCCAACGGTTCACCATGGAAAAGTCGTCAATGGCAACAAGCCTCAATCATTCAACAACGCCGACAACTTCGAACTCCCAGAGGATGAGACAGATATCTACGAATACGCTCGGAAGTTGAAGGCACAAGTTGCACAGTTACAAGCTTCACTCGAGTCTGCCCACGTTACCATCGAGAAGACCCGAGCAGACGGCGCAAATGCTGCTGCTCTTCAGTCACAGGCGAGAATTCAACAGGAGCGCGAGCGCAATCAGCTCTCAATTGAGAACCAATCCCTCAAGGAGGAGATTAGAAGTCTTAATAATAAGTTAGCTCACGAAGTTCAGAGCAAGGACGACGCAACTCTCTCTTTAGAACAGCAGGAATTTGCTTTCAAAGATCAAGTTGATCGAATCCAGGAGGAAGTCGAGCGACTCCATGCAGAGCGAGTGGACAATGAGCACAACTTTCAACAACAACAGTCTGAGTACCAACATCGAATCGACTTACTTGTTTCCGAAAAGCGCACTCTTCAAAATCAAAAGTCTGCTCTCACAACTTCGGTCGAACAGCTTCGGCAGGAGAAGCAGCAAGACTCTCGAAAATGGCAGCAGAAGGAGGCCACTCTCCAGAAGCAGATTCAGCAAAGCAATATTGCTGTTCAACACCTTACAAACGTTACAAACGAACTCAAGGAGTCGACGCGAAATATCGAGGTTGTCACAACTACTCGAACTTCAAAATCGCCTTCCAGTCGCAGTACCAAGCAAAAGTCAAGCAGCGGAAACCACGAACAAGACCTGCCTTCGAAAGTCATGAAGCAGGCACGAAATCATATGGCGGATATCCAGGCAGCTTCTGGAAACCCTCGCTCCGCTCATCAACAGACCAATTCTACCCAGAAGGATCGGGCACCATTCCAAGCGCTTGATTTCGACCTTCACCAACAAGCGTTTAGCCACAATCGTCAACAGGCTCCAAATAACCCCACCATCCAGACCGAACGAAATGACACCCAAATCACACAAGAAGCTTCTTTCAATAACAATACCGAAGACCTTCAAAACAACACTCAGCAATCCGAAGGCGACAGTCTTTCAGATGCTGGAACCAACTGGTCCAGCCTGCTTGGACATGGATACATCCCTGAACTTCATCAGCATCTCAGGAATCTCCGAGCTGCCAAGAAGCAACAACTTGAAGCCGTGGATCGGGCTTCCGCGCATGAGGATACCATCCAATCTGGTCGGTCTTCCCACGCTCCATCTATCAGAAACACAACGGAAAATCACGTTGTCCGCGATGACACCATCCAATCTGGTCGTTCATCTCATGCTCCATCCGCCAGAGCATCC